AAACCTTGTTAACTCAGTCAAGTAGCCCACAAGAATTTGGGAAAAATGCAAGAATGCCTAGTGGGCGAATTCATCACTAATTCTTTGTGCTACATCTCGTATTCTGAATCAACAAAGAATTACGCAAGAAGCATCATGCGCTCAGAGGTCAAAACGGCACATTCGTAGCTCTAAAAGTTGTAAGTAGGAGCTTTCGGAAATTGAAGCGCTAATTTCCTATTTATACTAAGTGACATATAAATCCGAACACCCAGTTTAAATGGTTTTATTTTAATAAAATTTTGTATAAATAAATCAAGCATAATAAGTAAATGATAAAAATTTCAAAATGATTGCACTGCTTTAAAGCCCTTTGACCTTTAATAATGTGTGGATGCACCCTGATGTGCTACGCATTCTCCAACGCGCCTAGGCATGCTTCTGATCAGGTGATCAATCTCCTCCTGTGGTATCTCATTCCAGGCAACCACCAACTCCTCTCGAAGTGCTTCTAGAGTCTGAGGAGGACGTTGCAAATTGAGCAATCTCCTACCCATCATATCCCACACGTGCCTCAATTGGGGATAAGTCGGGAGATCTTGGTGGCCATGGTAACAATGTGACATCATTATGTTGAAAGAAGTCTATTGTGACTCTTGCAACATGTGGTCGGGCATTATCTTGTTGGAAAGTTGGATCTGCCAGGGTGTCAAGAATAGGGTAAAAGATGGGGTTCTAGAACTTCGTGGATATAACGCTGCACCGTTCATGTTACCCTCTGATGAAGATTAAAGGTGACCTGGAACCATAAGCTATAGCACCCCAAACCATAACTCCAACAGTGTGATGAACATGTCTTTCAACAAAAAACTGTGGATTCCTCCTTTCACCACGTCGCCTTCTAACCCTGGCACGACCATCGTGCATGCCTAAACAAAATCGAGACTCGTCACTAAAGACAATACTGTTCCATTCCTGATCCCAGAGTGACCGTTGTCTGCACCACTCAAGGCGATTACATCGGTGTAAGGGTCATCTTTTACCCTATCTTGACACCCTGGCGGATCCAACTTTCCAACAAGATAATGCCCGACCACATGTTGCAAGAGTCACAATAGACTTCTTTCAACATAATGATGTCACATTGTTACCATGGCCACCAAGATCTCCCGACTTATCCCCAATTGAGCACGTGTGGGATATGATGGGTAGGAGATTGCTCAATTTGCAACGTCCTCCTCAGACTCTAGAAGCACTTCGAGAGGAGTTGGTGGTTGCCTGGAATGAGATACCACAGGAGGACATTGACCACCTGATCAGAATCATGCCTAGGCGCGTTGGAGAATGCGTAGCACATCAGGGTGCATCCACACATTATTAAAGGTCAAAGGGTTTTAAAGCAGTGAAATCATTTTGAAATTTTTATCATTTACTTATTATGCTTCATTAAGTACTTATACAAAATTTTATTAAATAAAACCATTTAAAACTGGGTGTTCGGATTTATATGTCACTTAGTATATATTGCAAAAATACAAACAGATATCCTGTTATTTCTAGGTACAGCAATCATTTTGAAATTTTTATCATTTACTTATTATGCTTCATTAAGTACTTATACAAAATTTTATTAAAATAAAACCATTTAAACAGGGTGTTCGGATTTATATGTCACTTAGTATATATCCGTCAAAACTGTTGTAGATACTATGTGCAATCAATATCTGTTATCTATAAGATATGTGTAGGTTCATATTGATTTTGTATCACACCTCACCTCAACTTAGACGCAAACGACAGAACGGATATGAAACATCTGTAACTTATCCTGTGGTTTTCTTGTCGATTATCTCTCCATGCTAGTCAAGCCAATAGAATCACATGTATTGACAGAATCTGTTTTACAGTAAACGTTTCAATCGCAAAGGTGGTGACAATGACAATATATTTTACTCATCTGTCTTCCAGGAGACAGTCCGTTTGTTTTTTCGTTCCATTGTCTCATTTCAATACAATTCAAGATGGAACAACGCAAAACCAGCATAGCCCAGGACCGCCTGGGGTAGGCATCCCCGCTCCCAGACACGTGACCCTCGTCTATCGTCCCGAAAACGCCAAAAGCCAAACAAAAAAAAACGCAAAACCCACCCAGAACTGTTGTCGTAGCGCACCGGTTAATTGTTCATTGACTGAAATGTTGCAATTCTTTTGTTTTTTTGGATCTGGTTTGTTGTTCGATCTTAAACTCGCAGATGTTCCGCTTGGCCAAACTGTTATTCCTTATATTGCTTTCTCACAGGACAAACAACATGCTTTCCTCCATATGTCGAAGTATTTCTCACGTTTCAGATCCAAAACAATGCATTTATTAATTGTACTTGAAAAAAAAAAACAGCGTTGGTCGTAACCTACTATAAACAGAAATTGAAATTTACACTCGTATATGATTCATAGTTATTGTCGAAAATAACCAGTTAAGTGTTAAGTGGAGGACTCGTCTGTGGGCAAATTGACAGATTATGCAAAGTGTACTCTTTCTTCTTCATAGTGAAAATGACAACACGGGTCAATCAAACCAGATATCCATTATTTCTTCAACTAATGAGAACAACAGCACTACAGTGGTTGCTCCTATTTCCAGAGTTAACTATGTTGTCTTGCCATACATCAAAGAACTAATACCAAAATTGATCAGGCTGTATAATGTATAATCCCTTTAATTGTCGATTTGCTTGTAAATCAGTTCTCACAGTCAACAGTTTGTTGTCCAAAATGAAAGATAAGGTTCAGTTGCTTGATTCAACCAATACTGTCTATCGTATTAATTGCAACAACTGCAATTTAGTTTATATAGGCCAAACTTCTAGGTCGCTGAAAGGCAGGATAACGTTACACAAAAGTGATGCCAGATTACATCCAGAAAGATGTGCTTTGGCGTCGCAAATATTAACAACACAGGTCACTCTATGAATTATGGCAGTATTGAGGTTCTTGATAAAGAAAAAAAGACTCTCAAAACGTCTATTTTTATAAATGTCCCACATTTTCATGACCGATCATTGCATGAATAAAAAGGCTGAAGCGTTGAATTGCGAAAAGCTAGAACGGCTACATGTCCAAAGAAGGTTGTATCAATATCACACATTCTTGCACTCATATGAACCACACACTCTTTTCCAAAACAAGTTATTCCAGCATTTTAGTAATTTTTGGGTGGAGATTTACCGAGCGTCCCTCGTATACTTCATACCCAAAGTTGGACAGGGAGGTGTACATTTCCACGTTCCGTCGCGTCAATCACTTGTCTTCTGTTGACGCTTTACCGTTCCGTGCCCTTCCCCCTCTAAACGTGTAGCGGTAGTAGAAGGTTAGGGACTGCATTCCGATTGTTTCAACAAAATGTCTCCCCACGTGTAATATTTTTAGCTTGTTCGGGTTTATTGATATAACTTTTATTTTTTCTTAACTTTTAACGAAGGTATCTGTCGTTTTTAACAAGCCCAATGTCCCCGTCCTTTTGTTTTTATACTGAACACAAGTTCGATCTTCTCTACGTTCTTTCTGAAACACCTTGTGGCTGCAACCTACCGACGAGTAAGTTGTCTGACATTTTAAATCTTCTTTGCTAGCATCACAATTGTGTTTTCAGAATCCTGATGATGGCTCCATAGAGAATGCCGAAAGCTTGATTTTATCGTCAAAAGAGTAAACTTTAGCCTAACAATTTTGTCAATTTCCCAACTAAAAAGTAATTGTATTTTGTACCCAACTAGTCGTTGGCTTTGGCAATGACTACTTCTCATATATATATATATAAAAAGTAGGCAAATAATGGGTAAAATCCGCACAAAGAAGGAAAGTGGATTCGAGCAGGAAATAGGAAAGGTAACCCGAGCAATACGAATTTCTGCTTGTTGGCTTCATCAGGCCCGAAATGAATGCACTTATGCAACCACAAAGGTAGATACACATGCCCATACATCCAGATACGAGTGTAACCTGAGGAAACGAAGATGGAGAGAGAAAAAATGACACACGAAGTCCCCAACAAGAGCCAACCTAGACATTGTAGTATAAAATGGTGAGAAAATATTTTTGACTCTGTAATACTTCTCAAAAATATTTTCATTCATACTAATCAAACGTATAAAGTATGATATTTTGCATTAACATAGGAAACAGGTTTACTACCAGATAGATAATGTCCATATAAGAGTCGTTCATTGAAACCGATCTATTGCAAGGGTATTAACAAACGAAATCGTACCTTTCACTAAATCTGTAGACGATGACCTCATCATAATACATGATAAAGAAAGAATACAACCTACCAGCGTATTTTATGATATTGAGTAATGTTTAGAAGTTGAGATATTAGCAAAATGTCCATGTATTCGCTGAATAAAAAATAATATGAAAGGATGTTCGAGTACTAAAGTGATATAATGAAGGTGTCATCAAGTTCAAAGCCTCCGAGACAAAAGTCAGTTACGAATATATATGTGCAACTCAGTGTAAGCGTATGAAATATCTCAAATACATTTTGCTTGCGAGTTCAACCCTCAGACACACGAAATCTTTTAAGCAGGTTCATAAGTCTGGTTAATTACGACCGCCCTTGAGCCTGTTTATATGTTTAATGTTATACATTCCGTTCCTCCTCTGGCCACTTGTTTCCAGGGTAAGTTTTCGGTGGCGTCATATACACGCAAACGGATATAACTGTCGCTTCTAAGATCAAGTAGTGCGCGTTGTGAACCAATTACAGTGTTGCTGTGCTATTGGTCAAATATGGTAGGTACCCATTAAGTCTTTTTCCCAAAATAGGTCTTGGACAATCAGGTCCCATATCGAATTGTTTACGTAGTGCCCTTGTAGTAAAATAAAATGCTACAGAGTGGCAGTTAACAATCTTCATTATTAAAAACTCTATCTGCGCAAAAATCCAATATGGTGTCGATAAGAAAAAATGGCAATGGTTATGTGCAATTTATTTTGTTAAAAGAGGTAACGAAACTCACCCTAAAATTGTGCTTTTTAGGAAGGGACTCCAAATATACCTGCCAGTCGAAGCACCTCAAGAACAAACGAAGCCAGCGTTTTTCAATGCCATTTGCGATTCTAGCGTTGATCGTGTTGCATTTACCATCTGTCCTCTCGCATAATTTCACCAATGAATCCACAATTTTTCCGTGATTCTTTATGTGACGGTGCAGCACCTAGAAATAAGGAATAGGAGATTGTAATCGAAGGCATTCTATTGCTAAATCGTGCATTCCAAATGCATACATTTAATCGTTACGTAAGTGATGATCTATCATGATACTTTGAGGGTTGGGTCATCATGCGACCAATAAGAATATTACAGTAAATAAAATACGAGATCTGAAAATTAAGTGAAGAGTTTAATTTTTTTATTCTAATATAATTACAATTTTGCTGGAACTTCGATACTGTAATAGCATTCAGCCGGTCGGTTACAGACGTTTGAACTTTTTCGAATGTCACAAAATGAGTTTCCGTGAGGCGATTTGTCAACTTCGAGAAGATAAAAAAGTGACAAGGACTATTGCCATTGCTGTGTGACAAGGAGCATTATCTAGTTACGCCGTAATTTCACATATTTTTTTGTAGTCTCTCACCTCACCTTCGAAATAAAATTCTTAATAGATTGCGTAAGTGATAAAATTCCGAAAACAATTTTGACGTTCCGACTTAAATAGGTTTACGCCTCTGCGTTAAAACTCGTTTTCTGTATCTGACCGATAATTATACAGCACGTACCGGCGCATGTGTCTCTAATAACACTGGACAACAAATTTTTGTTTTTTAATTGTATCTTGTGGGAAAAGTGCACTTTGTTAATTTTTTGGCGGTGAATCCAAAAATGACAATGAAATAAAAAAATTAGTTGCGGTTTAGAAAAAAAACTTTTTATTTTTAAGGATATATTAAAAAAAGTAACAAGATTCATATACAGGGTGGTCCATAAGTCCTTTGAAATTTCAAATTTGAATAAAATTTAACGGGTGAGCGTGAGCGGCGCGGGCGAGGTGGGGGCAGTATCTTCAGTGTCTGGGAAGTCAGTCGTCATGGAGTGTTTCACTGGAGCGGATCGTGCTTTTTGTGTGCGCGCGTTTTATCAAAATAATGATTCGGCAACCATTGCGCGGCGTAAATATCGAGAATACCACAATTTACACAATTTTACAAAGTGTCCAACAGCTCAAACGATTAAGAACTGGGTTGCTAAGTTCGAAGAGACTGGTTCGACGTTAGATAAACAGCGGTGGGGTCGACCAAGGACAACTCGTATTGAAGAAAACATCAACATTGTGGCACAGTCTGTTCGTCAAAATCCTACCCAGTCTACTCGTAAGCGTTCCAGTGCACTAAACGTACCCAGAACATCTTTACAGCGGATTTTAAGGAAAGATTCACGTCTGCACGCTCACAAAATTCAGTTAGTGCAGGAATTAAAAGATAATGACGCTATTCAGAGACTAAACTTTGCGAATGAAATGTTGAATCGATTTTCTTCGCTCAATAATGTGTTGTTCTCGGACGAGGCTCACTTCCATTTAAACGGGCATGTAAATAAACAAAATTGCCGTTATTGGAGCCCCGAAAATCCAAGGCGTAAGCATCAGAAGCCCTTACACAGCCCTAAAGTTACAGTTTGGGCTGCTATGTCAGCGCATGGCATCGTAGGCCCTTATTTTTTTGAGGACGACAGAGGTCGCGCATTAACTGTTACTTCGGAGCGGTATGTAGCAATGATAGAAGAGTTTTTGACACCAGCGTTGCAGAATTTTCCAGGCTATAATACGCAGACCTGGTTTCAACAGGACGGAGCAACTGCCCACACCTCCAACACTTCTATGCCCGTCGACTGTCAACTTTTTCCCAGCAAAGTAATTTCTCGAAGAGGAGACATTTCCTGGCCACCACGTAGTCCAGATTTGACCCAATGGACTTCTTTTTATGGGGCTACCTCAAGAGTAAAGTGTACGACACCACTCCGCGATCAGTTGATGTCCTGAAAGAAAATATCCGAAGAGAAATGGCAAGCATTACAGTGTTGACTTGCCGCGCAGTCATCGACAATTTTAGACGTCGTTTATATGAGTGCCGTGATCGTAATGGATTGCATTAGACGATGTGATTTTTAAAACATAATTCCCATTCAATAAAGATGATAACAAAATATAATAATTCTTCATAATGTAACTAGTTTGGTTTTATTCCTGTTTTTCCAGCTCAAAGGACTTATGGGCCACCCTGTACTTATAAGAATCACTATATGCGCTGTCTTTTTGCTGTTCTTTTATGGATCGTTTCTGGAGCATCTCTACCAAGAGTTCAACAGTAGTCTGCAAGCATGGAAGGATTCCACTTTCCCTGGTACCTTTTTTCCATTGTTGAAATATCCTGATGAAAACGTTCGCCGTGCTCATCACTTACGGCTCCGCAATTGTCAGGAAAAAAGTCCAAGTGTGAGTGTAGGAAATGTATCTTAAGAGACATATTACAGCCCATCTTTTGATACGATGACAGCATATTTTTGATAAGGGTTTTATAGTTGTCAGCTTTTCTGTTTCCCAAGAAATTAGTGACCACCAGACGGAAATCATTCCAAGCAGTTTTTTCAATACCTGTTAAAGTGTTTTCAAACTGTGTATCTTTCAAAATATTTCGAATCTGTGGCCCAACAAAAATACCTTCTTTAACCTTTGCCTCACTTAGTCTTGGAAATTTCTGACGCAGGTATTGAAAAGCTGACCCATCTCTATCTAATGCCTTGACAAAGTTTTTCATTAGGCCCAACTTGATATGCAGTGGTGGTAATAATTTTTTTTTCGAATCTACTAATGGCATATGCTGTACATTTTTTTGACCTGGCTCTAGGAATTGACGTACAGGCCAGTTTTGACTGGTGTAATGAAGTGCCTTTGCCCGACTGTCCATTCTCACAAAAAACAGCAAAACTTTGTGTAGCCTAGCTGCAGCCAAGTAAAAGTGCAACAACTTTCAAATCGCCACAAATATACCATTGCTGCTCATCGTATTTTATGCATGTCAATAGGTACTTCATATTGTCATATGATTCTTTCATGTGGACTGCATACCCTACAGGAAGAGATGGTAAAATATTTCCAATATGCAATAACACTGCCTTTAAACTCAATGTTGAACTGTCTATAAACAATCTCCATTCTTCTGGGTTATAGTTTATATTTAAAGCCGCCAGTAAGCCGTTAATGTTACTGCAGAAAACCAAGTTATTCTCCATATTGAAAATGGTTCTAAGTCTTTGTGGCGTTTACGAAAAACACATACCGAAACATCGTCTTCTAACAAGTTCCGCTGCTGCAGTCTTGATCCAAGTAACTCTGCCTTACATTTTGGAAGTTCTAAATCTCTTACAAGATCATTTAATTCTGACTGTGTTATTTTGTGCGGTTGGTGGCATGACGTGCTCGGTATAAAATCAGGATCTCTTGACGTTGATGGCATATCTTCTTCCTGACGAATCACTCGATCGCCATGATCTGATTCGTTTTCTGATTCCAAAGTGTAGGATTCTGGGGTTTTGGAATAGGATTTTCGTCACTGTGAGGCACAGGTCTCATCGCAGATGGTATGTTTGGGTAGTTAATAACCGATTTTTTTTTTCTTGGACATACCTGTGGCTTGTCCAGCACAAGGTACCATGCAAAAGTAACAATCATTAATATGATTTGTAGGCTCTCTCCAAACCATTGGGACAGCAAAGCGCATAGACCGTTTTTTGCCATTTAACCAGCTCCTCAGACTTGAAGCACATGTATTACAGCAGATGTGGGGTGCCCACTGTTTGTATTGATCACCTAGTTTACAACCGAAATAAAGCTGATATGCCTTTGTTATTAGTGGAGTAATAGACCGTCTCTGAGACGCAAAAGTCACATCACCACACACGTAACAAAACTGATCTGGATTGTTTACACACTTTCGAGACATCTTGCATGAACGCTGTCAGCCAACTGAGGAAAAAATGGCTAATATTAAACAATATAATGTACACGTATGTATAACGTAACACAATCATGCCGATTACATCATCTTTCCTTGCCGAATATAAAAATGCAGCACGTGCATTCTTGTGAATTACAGTATATTAACACTGTCACAGCAGGAACACATATAATTACCGTATCTCTAAAACTTGCACTAATATTGAAAAAATAAGTTTCATTCCGGTTTTAGCACATTAAAAATAGTAATATTTTGTTGATTTTATTTAGGATATTTTTTGGCTGTTGATCAGTGTAATATGTAAACATAACCTATAAATATTGTTGTGTTGTTATGAATGTCGACTTAAACAAAGTGTTTATTTTTCTTGTCATTTACTTTTTGTTTGTAGGTACTTATAATATTATATAGAGAATAAAACATTTTTTATTTATGAAATAGTATTTTTGATACATTGATACCCATGTCCAGATTTAAATTGTTGGCGTAACTACACATTAAAAGAAACAAGAGTCGTAGTGGCGTAAATGTACAAAAACATTTTTTTTAACTCATTTTACTTTTACAAAACTAAACCATGCCAAAACAAAGTTCTACATAATTTTAGTCTAACAAAAAAACAGCAACGTGCAGACAAAAAAATCAGTATGTCATTTTCAATTTTATTTATTGCTGACTTTCGTTTTCAACTTTCCTGTAAAATTTGCAAAATGTTAGTTACGCCGGTACGTGCTGATACCGACGACATGTTCTCCTGTCTATACAATATAGTTGACCTTTCAATGTTTCCACTAATTTTTTAGTTCCTTCATATAGATAAATGAAATCTAAAGTGATATAATATAAGCTTGATTGATTGAATGGATGTACTGCCGACGTTGTAGACATGCATCTTCGATTATACGAATCTTGCTTAGCAGACACCAAGCATTGCGGCGGTTTAAATGAGATGAAATCGATGTTACTGCCAATTTCCGACTGTGTACAGCAGGAGTCCCTATTAGGTTTGATAATGCTTAACATTTACATTAATGATATAACGTAACTGACAGCAGTTCTACCTGCATTTCTCGAAGATTGACAGTCTGTATTTCTACAGTGCATATCCTCTATACCCATCGCTTTGGTGTGGATAAGCGTGTGACAATCAATGGTTCTAATCTTTGGAGAACGGTTAAACACATAAAGCTTACCACCGATAAGGCAAAAATTCGTTGCATCCCTAATGAAACGTTGAATCTTGGTTGGAATGGAAAACTTCATGTTACTTTCAATGGCTTTAAGTCGTAGCAGTATGTAACTAAATCAGGAGTAGGCTCAGGGTTCAAACATTGGTCCTTTATTGTTTACCTTATTTAATGATGATATTGCGCAATATTTAAGTTGTAATAAACTCCTCCTTGCGGATGATTTAAGATTATTCAGCATTATTGCACTAGTGGGATATTGATGCTTTAGTAAATTAGTGTCGATTCGAACTCGTACCATTAGAACCCTTTATTGTGACAGGGCTCGCACAATGCTGTCGAGCTTTTCTGCCTAAAAGCGTTAATATCAGGTAACCAAATAAGTTCATGCGGTTGCTTGTATATCGCACATTG